AGGAGGGGGAGGAGGAGGAGGAGGAGGAGGAGGAGGAGGAGGAGGAGGAGGAGGAGGAGGGAGGAGGAGGAAGAGGAGGAGGAGGAGGAAGAGGGAGGAGGATGAGGAGGAGGAGGAGGAGGAGGAGTTTGGTTCCCAGTCCAGGTCGGGGGACCAGCGCGCGGCGCCGCTCGTGTCCCACAGGCCAAGGGTCGAGGAAGCTCAGAGGAGAGCGAGAGGAGGCCGCCTTGGTTGACCTTCGGGGGGGGGGGGAGCTCGGAGAATCGGTGCGCTTGGACCCCAGGAGGGGCCCGGGCCCAATGTTTGCGCTGAAGCGCATACATGGACCCAGACATGCTCGCGTCGTTGAAAAAGCACGACGGAAGGTTTTCGGTTGTTCTCCGCCCCAGGGGGTCTTCGGCGGGCCCTGGGGCCGACAAAATACAATTCGGGATGGAAAATTGGCCCCGGGCAGATGGTCGGGACTTCCAGGGGCCCGTAAGGAAAAGATCAGGGCATCGCTTCTAGGGCTAAGGCGCGTGGATTGGCGACGCGTCGCGCTTCCATACCACATCGGCGCGCTCTGGCGCCAGAGCATGGAGTAGTGGCCTCATGGTTCGGAGGGTATTTTTCCCCGATCTGTCGATCTGGCGCGTGTGCGACGGATAAACGGATCCGTAATCTATGGCGTGTGTCCGAGGGGGTCCAGTCCGAAAATAATTACTCGGAGCCCCGCGCGGACTTCTCGGATCGGCGCAGGGGCCTCCTTTGCGGCACATCCGGCGCCGCCCCTGGCGCGCTCCGCGCGTCAGGGAGAGGGTCCAGCGCCGATCCAAGAAAGCCGCGCAGACCTCCGAACGAGTAGTTTCAGTTGGCTAGCGTGGTTTTCTCATTCTTAGCATCAGTGTCATCATTCATGTTCATATCATGCGTGTTATGCTCAGTATGATGAGTGCTAGTATGATTATGATTGCTGGTATGGTGTGTCTTAAAATTAACGCTCCGCGTATCCCCACCAGCCCATCCAGAAACAGATCGCCAGGCGAGTTGCCCTGATCAGGGAAGTGTAGAAGCATGCAGTGGAACAACCACCTTGAAAGTGTTTCGGGTGCGCTGAAACGGCAGGATACATTGCTGAATTATGTGCGGCCTCATTGGGGTCCTCTGGGCCCCTCTGGGAGTTACCTTGACACCCTCTCGGGGCGGGGAGGCGATCTTTGGCAACGGGAGAAGAAAGGAGGAAAGGAGAACTGGAGGAGGAAGAACGGAAGAAGAGGATGAACCATTAGATGGATGGGGGAGGAAGGAGGAAACGACGATGAAAGCGACGACGACAACGACGAGTCAACCATGAAGCCTTCGCGGAGCTTGAGCTTCGCGAGCCTCTTGGAAGCCTATTGAGAACCCCCTTGCAAAGACCTTGGAAAGACCCCTGCAAAGACCCTGCAATACCCTGCAGTCCGAGCCATCTTGAAGGCCAAGACGGCCATCGGAAGCGAAAGGGCGAGAGCGCAAAAACATTTACTGCCCTTAGATTGTGCAATTTTTTTTGCTGCCTCTTGGGGCCCGCCTGGGACTCTTTTGGGGTATATTGGGGCTCATTTGGGGGGGGTCGGGGAGGCCTCTTGGGGCCGTCTTGGGCCCCATGGCTCAACGAGAGGAGGAGTAATAAATTCAGGTCCCACCCCCCTGGAGGCTCCAAAATGCCGTCTCGGGGTCCTCTTGGGTCGCTTTTGGAGCGCTCCTGGGCACTCCTGGGGCCGTCTTAGGACCCTTGTGGGCCGCTTTGGGGGATCTCTTGGGCCATCTTGGGGCCACCTTGAGGCTTCAAAAGCTGGTCAGAAGCGAGAAGTCGAAAAAGGGGGGGAGAGAAAACAAGCATTGATGTTCCTTGGGCTTCAAAAGGATCTGGGCTTCTCGGAGGCTTCCTTGGACGGTTCGAAGGGCACTTGGAACCGTCTAAATGCTGTCTTGGGGCCTCTTGGGCGTATGTCGGAGACCATCTTGAGCAATCTTGAAGTATTTTGGACCATCTTGGAGGCCATCGTGGGCTCCCTCAGGCCCTCCTAGAGCCATCTTGGGCCATCTTGGACGCTCCAATGGGTCGCGCCCCTCCCAATCCCAGGCCCAGGGGAGGGGGCAGGGGGAGGAGAAACTCCTCCCCCAAGCAGGGGAAGGAAGCATGTTGCCAGAGAGAAGATAAAACTCGTTAAACCACCTACACCCAGAGGGCCGGTGGCATTCTATGATTATCATTTTTTCTGAGATTCGATCCGATCAATGCGATTCGATATCGGCCAGCTCGATCCGATTCGAATGTCGTGATTCCGATGCGGCCTGATGGGTGCATGGCGCCGTTGTGCATCCTGGCGCGGCCTATCCGGTCCGATACCGGCCCAGAGCCGATGGGGCCCGCTTCGGTGCGCATTCCGATCCGGTCCGAGCTCTCGAGCTGGTGTTGGCTGATCTTGCAGGCTGGACGCGCTGAGGGAGGCCGCGCTGCGCAGCACCACGGAGCTGGAGCTCACCTTCGCCCGCGTGCGGCCGGCGGTGCTCGGGGAGAGCTTCACGTCCGGCGGGCACGACGTCGAGCTCAGGCAGTACGTGGTGAGGTTCGACTGCCCTTCGCACCTGTTCCGGTGGCGCCTGGTCCTCGAGGCGTGGTGGCAGCCGCCTCCGGGGGCGGCGCCCCTCAGGGAGCATCGCCCCGTGGTGGTGCTGACCAGCGAGGCCGCGCCCGCGGAGGAGGCCTGCGCGCCCGCCGGGTTCCCGCAGGACCAGCTCACCTGCGGGGTGCTGGAGGGGCGCCTCGGCGCCCTGTGGAGCAGCGTGAGGACCAAGCTGCAGGCCGCTGCCCAGCGCTCGTAGTCGAGCGCTGGAGGGAAGCCTCGGCGTCCTCTGGAGCAGCCTGAGGACCAAAATCCAGGCCACTGCCCAGCGCTCGTAGTCGGCGCGGGCACCTTTATCTCACCACGCCACGCGCGGTTTTGAGTCGCAAGCACTGAGAGCCAAGCTCCCCGTCCGACACTTTGCACCCAGAGTCCGGGTCCCAGCAGATTACAGCAAGCTGAGCCGATCATTGTCAAATGCTTAACGCTTCGCGTACCCCCACCAGCCTGCCCCTGCTTGCACGGCGTTCGACTCGCTTCGCGCGTCTGCGTACCAAAAGTTCCCCCACCAGCCAATCCAGGAACGAGGCCGAGGGGAGTCGCCCTTGTCGGGGGAGCGTGGCATTGTTTGGATACCTCGCGGAGCCTCAGCGAACTGGAGGCCTCTCGGATGCTTCTCGGAGTCGCTTGGGATGTCTCCTGGGGGGCCCTTGGTGGCCTCTCAGGGCGTCTTATGGGCTTTGGGAGCCCTCTTGGGGCGTCTTGTTTGCCTCTGGGGGGCCTCTGGGGGCTTCTGGGGAGCCTTGTAGGCTTTCTGGGGACCATCTTCGAGGACATCGATCGAGGATCGGGGGGGGGCATTACTGAGGGCCACCCCCCTCTGGAACCCCCCAAGAGTCACGCCGCTTCTAGGCGCCCTCTTGGGATGCTGTTGGGGCGCTCTTGGGGCACCCTTGGGCCATCTTGGAACCATCTTGAAGCCTGGGAAGGCCATCGGCAGCAAACTGGCGAGAAGGCAGCATTCATGGATGTTCCTCAGGCTTTGTGAGGATGTTGGCCTCTTCTGGGCGTCCTGGGGAGGCTCCGAGGCCACTTGGACCCGTCGTGGCGCGGCCATGGGACCTCTTCGAGTAGCCTGGAAGCCATCCTGAGCGATCTCGCGCTACCCTGAGCCATCTTGGAGGCCACGCTGGGCGTTCCGGGGCCCTCCTGGAGCCATCCCGGGTTGTATCCTGGACGTGGACGCTCAAACGGCCCGTGGGGCGCCCCGCGGAGACCCCGGGAGGGGTTTAGGGGGGAGGGAAAAAAACACACAGACACAATTCATCGCCGATTCCCCAGAAAATATGGGAAAATATGGGAAGTGGGGATGAAGACAAAAACGCCGAAAGTATTGGAAAACATGGGGAATCCTGTTATATGTGTGTATTGATTTGTGTGTCCCAGGGCTCCTTCATTTAGGGGGGAGGGTGAAGACACCGCTCCCAGGCGCAAGCTGTTTGGCTCACTCCCACCCGCCCTCCCAACACATGCAGTGGAAGCCCACGCCAAGAAGCACGCTGCTTGCCTCCAGGGTGCCCTGGGCTTCTTGGGTGTCGATGGTCTTGCGATGGACAGCGTGACGCTCCCACGCCGAGAATCGATGGACATCCTGGGGCCTCAGGGTTGGGTTTCTTGTGGAAGGTTACTTGTGGACTGGCCTCCGCTGCGCCCGTAAGGAGCAGTGAAGAGACCCCTCCCCGAAGGAGGAGAAGTGCGCTGGAAGAGGACACGCCCTAAACCGCCTGCGCCCCAGAGGGCTGGTGGGATTTGCCTCCGTCGGTCCCAGTGCTTCTTCAGCAGTCTCACGGAGCGGGCCGCGTGGCTCTGGAAGCCCCTGCGCGTGCACGATGCTGTCACCGCAAGGCGGGCCCGGCGCCTGCGGAAGACGTTTGTTTCGGCCCTGCTCTTTTCTGAGGGTGCTCCTAGCCCAGGGCTCGAGCTAAACGGTATTTTAGGGGAGCGAAGAATGGTCCGCGCGGATTCCTCGGATCGGCGTTGGGGCCCCGTGGCGGCGCCTCCGGCGCCGCCCCCGGCGCGCGCCGCGCGTCAGGGAGGGGCTTCCAGCGCGGATCCGAGAAATCCGCGCGGACCTCCGAGCTGTCATGCTTATGTAATTTTGTCGTTCCCCTCGTTTGGGCGATTTCGTGGACCGTGTTCGTTTCAATGTCGCTTCGCAGCAAAGGGCAGAGCGAAGGCAGAACGAAGGGAAGGACAACAGCACGAAAACGAGAGCACTGCTCAGGCCGAGCGGTCAACACTGCTTGGGTCGAGCCCTGTCCCTGGCAGAGGCATGGACAGTGTGGCATGTGGCCTGGTGGGCAACAGGCCTCCTCCTCCTCCTCCTCCTCCTCCTCCTCCTCCTTCTCCTCC